GACTGAAGCTTCTCTGAAGAAACCAAAGTGAGACTTCCTTCTTCAGTCCCCTTTTATTCCACTCAGGCTATTGGCTGAAGCCACTCATACTCAGGGTAGGTCTTCTGTCTTCAGTAAATCCTTTCAGCCACCCCTAAAACTATGCTAATCCAATCAACTGGGAATTTCTTGTTCAAATCGACACAACAGTCAACTATCACATCGCACAAAGATTTTATCAATTTCATATTGTATGTTTACTGGTTTTATAATTTTTTATGGTATCAGGAATTGAATACAGTGAGCTACATCCCTTGCCTTTTTACTATTTTGATACAAGTTCTTGCTAAATTGCTAAATTGCCCAGACTGGGCTTGAACTTCCAGTCCTCCTAACTCAACTTCTCCAAATGCTGGAATTATAGCTGTGCACCATCATGTTCACTATAATTTTGATTCTGAAATACAGAGATTGCAGTCACCTGCAGCTAGCTTTTTATGTTGGCTGTGAAATAAGTGCTCTTATCTAAGTTTTTTTTCAAAATGAGTAAGCAGCTCTCCTGATGTCCCTCATTTAGAGTCCATTATTTTCCCACTGAGGATTTATTAAAAAAGCAAATTGTAACACTGCATACAGCTGGGCGTGGCCGTGCATGCCTGTAATCCTAGCACTCAGGAGGCTGAAGTAGGAGGATCATTGTGAATTTGAGGCCAGCCTGGACTACAAGGTGAGCTCAAGGGCAGCCTGAACTGCATAGTGAGACCCTGTCTCAAAAAGAAAAAAGAAAAAAAAAAAAAAACCGCACACATAGTATAATATACTTATGTGCAGAAAAGAGACTACAAATCAGTAAACACTCCAAAGAAAAGTCGAGTTGAAGCCATAATAAAATGTCTTAGTTACTTTTCTCTGAGTTGCTAAGACAAAATACCCCACAGCCAAAATTAAGGAAGGAAAGACTTGTTTAGCTCATGGTCTGTGGAGGTTTCAGTCCATAATCAGCTGGTTCCAAGGCAGGGTGGCATGGCACAGGGGCAACACTTCAAGGTGGCAGCAACAGCAAAAGCAACAAGAGCAAAATGGGAGGGAGCAAGCCTCTTTTCCTCTCTTACACTGTAAGCAGGCTAACACCCCCAAGGGTTGGTGTAACACTCACACCATCACCCTGCCCTCCTCTTGCACAGGCTCAGAATGTTTACAAAGTGAGCACCCTGGCCCCCTGCTGAGACACTTAGTTAAACTTCCAAACTTCTCAAGTTGACACAACGTATCAACCATTACATAGACTGAAAGAAAGACCCGTGGTTTCCTTCAAAGAAAACAATGCAATGAGCTGTGAGGCCTTTAAATATCCTAATTCCTATACAAAACTGACCACAATGACCCAGACAGGGGTACAGGAAAGGCAGGCACAGTAATTATTTTCAGACAGCAAATATGAGTCTTTTAAAGAATGAATAGTATATGATGCTGTTTAAAGTGCCTAGAGAGCTTTTATAGGTAAATAGTCACAACTAGAGACCAGATTCATAAGTGAAATAAATCAGACCTGCATGTGCAAGCACCACATTGTCTCACTAGTGTAAAACCTGAAAGAGTTAATAAAAACTCCAAGGTATGATAGACATTGTGAAATGATAGGAAAACACTCAAGGGTAAAGGGCAACTGGGATGTGGGAGAAGATAAGGGAAAGAAGGAGAAATTTTGTATGTATGTATATACAGGATAGTTAACATAGTTGATCTACTGTCTTCTATTTCTTTGCTGAAAGAAACAGTTAATGAGTCCTTGACTGATCAATATTGCATGTCTCTTATTTGTTTTCATGAGAAACCACTTTGAAGATATCAATATGTAACACAACAAGCATTGTTAATTTCCTACCACTTTGTAACTCTGTATTGTTTGTACTGTTCCTTTGCTATTTTGTAAAAGGTTGTCTATCTGTTAATGTTTTCCTCCTTTTATTTTAAAATTAAAAATTAAAAACAAAATAAAGTGCCTAGAGTGGTTCAGATTTAATGCAACCCTAGGCAAAATACCAAAATCATTTCTCACAGAGCTAGAGAAAACAATCCCAAAATTTATATGGAATCATAAGAGACCTGGAATAGCAAAAGCAATCCCAGGTAACAACAGTAAAGCAGGTGGCATCACAATCCCAGACTTGAAGTTATACTATAAAGCTACAGTGATTAAAACAGCATGGTACTGGCAAAAAAAAACAAAACAAAACAAAACAAAAAAACAGGCATGTGGATCAGTCGCACAGAACAGAAGAAGCAGAAACAACCCCAGGTACATGCAGCTATTTTATCTTGGACAAAGGAACCAAAAGTGTACACTAGAAGAAAGATAGCCTCTTTAATAAGTGGTACTGGGAAAACTGGGTATCTAGATGCAGAAGATTTAGTCCAGACCCATTTATGTCACCATATACTAAACTAAAATCAAAATGGATCAGAGATCTAAATGTTAAAACAGAAATAACCGGCTGGAAGATAAAAATAGGGGCAGCTCTTGAAGACAAGGTGTAGGCAAGGACATTCTGAACAGAACCCCAACAGGACAAGAAATAAAACCAAAAATCAACAAATGGGTTCATATCACATTAACAAGGTTCTACACAGCAAAAGAAACAACCAACAGAATGAAGAGACAATCTACAAGATGGGAAAGAATTTTGCCAGCTATTTCTCAGAGGACTAACATTAAGACTATATGAAGAACTCAAAGAAATTAGTCTCCCCCAAATAAAAGACCTAATCAAAAAATGGGCAGCCAAAATAAACAAGACACTTCTCAGAAGAAATACAAATGCTTAATAAATACATGAAAAAAATGCTCACCCTCACAGGCCGTTAGAAAAATGCAAATTAAAACTACATTGAGGGTTGGGAGTGGTGGCACATGCCTGTAATCCCAGCACTTAAGAGGCTGAGGCAGGAGGATCATTGGAAGTTCAAGACCAGCCTGAGTTACAAAGTGAGCTCAAGGCCAGCCTGAACTATATAGCAAGACCCTGTCTCAAAAATACCAAAAAAAAAAAAAACAAAAACAAAAAAAAAAAACAAAACAAAACTACATTGAGATGCCATATTGCCCCCAAAAGAAGAGCAATCATCAAAAAAATCTAATAACAAATGCTGGTGAGAATATAATGCATAGTACAACTACTATGGAAATCAGTGTAGAGACTTCTCAAAAAACTAAAAGCAGAAATTCCATTTGACCAAAGTGTTCCCCTCCTAGCAATCTTCCCAAAAGAGTTAAATCATATATAGTGATACATATATGGCCATGTTTATAGCAGCATAATTATAATAGCCAGATCCTGGAACTGGTGTATATGTCTATCAATAGATAAATGGATACTGAAATATGGTATTTGTACACAATGGAGTATTACATTGCCAAAATGAACATTCATAGCTAATTAGATGCGACCTGAGAACATAATGCTAAGTGAAATAAGTCAGACACTGAAGCTCAAATATTCTATCTAAACCATATAGATATACACAGAGTAAGAAGAAGTTCAAATACGTCCCCAAATTACTATTGTGTTGTTTTAAAAATATTTCCGTATACTGTAAATGCTAACTTCATTTATACTAATAATTTACCTGTTTGTGATATTACCTGTTCTTTGTAAAATTCGTTTAAGTGTTGTACTCAGCAACCACTTTGAAGATAATGATACACAGTTAAAAACTATTTATTCTCATTATTTGGTTACGAAAATTTATGTTTCATAAAATAAAAAAAAGCAAGTACCCAGAGGGGGCAGCCCTCGGGGGCGTGGCTGGGCACGAGGTAGGGCGCGGCCCCAGGGTGCGGTGGCAGAGCAGGACCTGGGCGGGGGCCGCGACCAAGCGTCTGGCCGGGCGCGCGGGACGGGGCATGGCCGGAAGGGGCGTGGCCCAACCGAGGTGTTACGGAGCGTCGGGGAGGCCAGGCAGCCGGCAGCAGGCAAGTAGATTCGGAGGCGGACAGACCTGACAGGCCACCAGAAAAGACAGCGGTGGGGCAGAGGGCAAGCCTAGGAAAGGGTGTGGGGGGCGGCCCTGGCGTGGGATAGGACGTGGCCGAGCGTCAGTCCCGCGGAGACGTGGCCGCGCCCGACGCACGGCGTGCACACGCCCGCGGCTGCCTCCTGCGGCGCTGGTCCTCGCACCAGCCGCCGGGAG